TTATAGCTTCTACCCGTCCCAAGAGAGACAGAGCATATCCTATCTTGTGAGCTCCTTTCTCAATTTTTTGTAGTTTTATACAACTGTGTGATTTGAAGGGTGAGCATGATCCCTAGATATCTGAAGCCAAGTTTAGATTTGCAGAAAGTCGCCACATTGTCAAGTTGGCTTGGCCATTCCCCAGATATCATAACTGCTTCTGATTTATTGTGATTGACTTTATATCCCGATAATAGACCAGGGTCCTTAAGATTTTGTAGAAGAGCAGGAACTGAGTGGACAAGGTTTTTGATGAACAACAATATATTGTCCGCATATAAAGCTATTTTATGTTGGGGTCTGCTATAATCTTTTATTCCTTGTATTAGAGGGTTACTTCTAATCAGCTCTGCAAGGGGTTCAGCACTCGGGGCAAATAGAACTGGTGAGTGTGCATCCCCCTGCCTAGACCCACGGCCCAAGTTTAAAAAATTGGCCATTAATTCCAACTGTTGACCGCGGATTCATATGGAACACTCCGATCCAATACAGAAACATTTCCTTATAACCCATATGGGTCAATGTTTGTATCAGAAATGTCCAGTCCAACCTATCAAACGCTTTTTCAGCGTCGAGCCAGAGAAGCATTGACGGAGTCTTTCTTTGTGTGGCGATAGATTGTAGATGTAGGGCTCTTCTTACATTGTTGGTGCCCTGTCGTACATTGATGAACCCGATTTGGTCTGGAATTTCCTAATGTGTCTTTGTATTCCATTTGCCAGAATGGAGGTCAATATTTTTAAGTCCTGACAAAGCAGACTTATGGGTTGATACCCTGTACAATGGGTGGGGTCTTTTCCATCTTTATGTAAGACTAATTAATAAACTAATCAATAACTTTTCTGTTTTGTTTGATACTGATCAGTTCAGTGACGTTCAGTTAAACTACGTTTTCGATTCAGTAGATATCTGCGGCTTTTAGCCCGGTGCGCTCTATAGTCCAGAAATTACGGTATTCACTCTCTCTCTTTCTTTACATTTTTTAATCACAATTGTCTATTTTGTGCTCATTTTAAATATATTTTTAACCATTTACTAAATTCATTTTTATATTTTTACATTTTTTGTTTTTGTGAAGCGCCTCGTGATTTTTATCTTGAGAGGCGCTAATAGAAAGGATATTTTCTTCTTCTTCTTTATTACAAACTCCTCCACCGTACAAAGTACAGGTCCACCCATATTGTTTTTTCTGTTGTGATAACGATATGAGGCAGTCATGGTAAGCCGATGTTTCAGTGCATTTATTAAGCAGATGTTTTTTAGGGCTGTACGTGCACGTCCAAATAAACACAACAGCAACCTGCTAAAACACACCTGTGCAGTGGAAGTTTCTCAACTAAATAAAGAAAAAAGAAGGCAGTCCATGATTCAATTAAAAGGGTTTAAATAAGAATGAAGAGGCTCTTCCCAAAGGATTGAGGCCCACACTCTATATATCCCCTCTGAACCCTAACCCAAAGGCACCATACTAACTTATCTATAAAGCTGCATTTAAATATAGCATGGCAGCTAACCAAAGCACTATACATAAAACCATATCAGCAACACAAAGTGCAAACATGGAAATCAGGTCAAAGACACAAAGACATAGCATAAATACTTGAGGATAAAATTCCTACATTTCATTTTACAGACAGAAGTTGGGTCGTGGAGTACATGCTTTAAACATGTGGCAGATGAAATGCAGCTGTTAGCGAGGCTGTTCAATCAGAAATCACACAATACTGACTTACAGCAACATGTGGAGCCAGGCCTTCTAAACATATTGAGCAAAAGTGTGATCAACAACAACAAAACAAATAATGCAGTCATATAGAAATACCACGCAGACTCTGTAATAAGACATACAAAGATATAGAATACCATGCAGACTCTGTAATAAGACATACAAAGATATAGAAATACCATGCAGACTCTGTAATAAGAGATACAAAAATATAGAAATACCATGCAGACTCTGTAATAAGACATACAAAAATATAGAAATACCATGCAGACTCTGTATATAGAAATACCATGCAGACTCTGTAATAAGACATACAAAAATATAGAAATACCATGCAGACTCTGTATATAGAAATACCATGCAGACTCTGTAATAAGACATACATACATACAGAAATACCATGCAGACTGTGTAATAAGACATACATACATACAGAAATACCATGCAGACTCTGTAATAAGACATACATACATACAGGAATGCCATGCAGACTCTGTAATAAGACATACATACATATAGAAATACCATGCAGACTGTGTAATAAGACATACATACATACAGAAATACCATGCAGACTCTGTAATAAGACATACATACATACAGGAATGCCATGCAGACTCTGTAATAAGACATACATACATACAGAAATACCATGCAGACTCTGTAATAAGACATACATACATACAGGAATGCCATGCAGACTCTGTAATAAGACATACATACATATAGAAATACCATGCAGACTCTGTAATAAGACATACATACATACAGAAATACCATGCAGACTCTGTAATAAGACATACATACATATAGAAATACCATGCAGACTCTGTAATAAGACATACATACATACAGAAATACCATGCAGACTCTGTAATAAGACATACATACATACAGGAATGCCATGCAGACTCTGTAATAAGACATACATACATACATATAAAAATACCATGCAGACTCTGTTATAAGACATACATACATACATATAGAAATACCATGCAGACTCTGTTATAAGACATACATAGGAGAAACTAGATGCTGACTCAACACACGAACCATACAACATCAAAGAGAGTGTCAAAGGTCACTAACAAGTTGGGCCACATCTGTAAATCCTCAACAAGCGTGAGACATCAGGTCATTCAGTTTAAAGTGGTGCACCATCTCCATTGGTCCAGACACAAACAATCTAAAATTAAGCCAGACAGTTGACCTCTGTGCTGTCTGACTCTGACTGTTTATCTGGAGTAGCCACTGCAGATGCTCCCTTCAGCACCCCAGCAAAGTGGAGGCTGTGCTGCTGTAAGCAGGAAAACTATTTGTTATGTGGGAGTCAGTGGGAACCCCTTTCTGAACCAGCCCCTAGGGGGCGAGGAGGGAACTGTAGTTTCATCTACTTTACTTCTGGCAGGCAGGATTTGCCCCATGGTGTGTGTGTGTGTGTGTGTGTGTGTGTGTGTGTGTGTGTGTGTGTGTGTGGTGGTGGTGGTGGGGGGAGGGGGGGATGCTCCCCCTCACTGCTTTTACAGACCAATTGGAGGCTGACCTACTTCAGCAGCACTCACCATGAGACCAGGAGAGAACACATCTCTGACTGTTAATCATGAATCATGGGAGCTGTGAGTTGTGTGATTCGGGTACTGTGTGTGTGTGTGTGTGTGTGTGTGTGTGTGTGTGTGTGTGTGTGTGTGTGTGTGTGTGTGTGTGTGTGTGTGTGTGTGTGTGTGTGTGTGTGTGTGTGTGTGTGTGTGTGTGTGTGTGTGTGTGTGTGTGTGTGTGTGTGTGTGTGTGTGTGTGTGTGTGTGTGTGTGTGTGTGTGTTTGTTTGTTTCCTAGGATACTATCTCTGCAAGACGTGCGTGGTGCTCGTAGCTGCCTTTCTGGTTCCCATGGCAGCGGGCCTCATCAAAGCACCTAGCTGCTGTTCTCCTCTTTTTACTGATACAGATGGGATGTGATGGAATAGTTGTGTTCTGGGTCAGAATAAAGTGAAGACAGGTCAGGTCTCAGAAGAAAACTACAGGCAGCAGGCTGATATTTGCATGAATCTAACCTGCATACCAACGTCTGGCTGTCTGTCTGAGATCCTGGACGAGTGAGGCAGTAAGCATGCCAGCGAGCCTTGTTGTCAGGATTAGCTTAGCAGCAAGCCCAAAGCTAATTATGTGTGTGTGGCTGACTGTAATCCTGAAGGCTGTTTCCCTCATCAGCAAACTGCTGCCTAACTAACAGTCAGCAGTAGATTCATTAGTGAGCTGCGGCTATCACAGCAACACTCTGATTAGACACACCCCTGCTTATCAGAGACAGGTCAGCCGGCACGTTCACACAGGAAGAAGGTCAAAGTTCCTGCATGCTGCTGGAAAACTGGAGCCTGGACCTTCAGCTGTTTCACTCTTAGTTACTTTCTACAAATATCCCATTATGCATCTGGACAAAAATGATAGATGACCTCGCCAGTCTGTCTGCCTCTCTCTCTCTCTCTCTCTCTCTCTCTCTCTCTCTCTCTCTCTCTCTCTCTCTCTCTCTCTCTCTCTCTCTCTCTCTCTCTCTCTCTCTCTCTCTCTCTCTCTCTCTCTCTCTCTCTCTCTCTCTCTCTCTCTCTCTCTCTCTCTCTCTCTCTCTCTCTCTCTCTCTCTCTCTCTTTCTGCCTGTCTTCTTTCTTTCTCTCTCTCCGCCTGTCTGTCTCTCTGCTCTCCTCATAGTCAGTTAGCTATGATCACCATGGAGACTGACACCTCAGAAATGTGATGATTCTGCTGTGGTAACCATAGTAACATCTGTGTGGCTGAAGTAAAGTCTCGGCCTGCTGAACCAGTGTCGCTTCAGTTGTTCAGACGTGTTTCCAGGAAGTGCACATGCTCAGGATGTTGTATAAGTGAATGAATGGATTTTATCATCCAAACATTTCAGACTTTATTGGTGCTGCAGCCTTTCACCACTATCTCCTCTTTCACCAGCCAGATGTTGAGCAACAGTGTAATAAATCAGAGTGTGAGTGGATTATGGATACTCTTATCGAGTTTAATGACTCTGTATAAAAAACATTACATAAGCTCTTTCTGGACTCTGTACATGCTTCTCTGAATCTGCAGCCATTAAAGAAGTTGCAGGTCTGACTCCATGAAGACTTTTACCACCTGTCGGTTTGTATATAGGCTCTGTGGTTTGGTGCTAACATGGTGAAGGAGTATTTTCTATAAGCAGTCTGTAAATGCTTTATGATGATCTAACAGGGGAGGTCGTACCCATTCAAAGGCTCCTTTCCCCCCATGTGGAACCCCTTTGTCTTGTTGGACTTCAACAACCTCTTTAGAACCATGGATGAGATGGGCAAGGAGGTAAAGATGGACTTTTCATTCATGCTAATTCTCTTATATATCATCATGCTTGCTCCTGTTAAGCCTCCTTCTGGGTTTTAGATTCCCAGGGAGGCCCCTTGGAGAGCTCCACATGCCGAAGAGTGGGACAAGATGACCATGCACGAACTGTTCCAGAAGATCTGTTGGACCAGGTGAAATTCTGTGACTTCATCATTTTACCAAAGCACTTTGTTAACTGCAGAAAGTCCTACTGTTTCACTAGAGAACTACATGATGCTGCAACTCATTTTTCTATAAATTACCTTCCAGGAATGAAGCATACCACCAAAGTGCTGCACAATAACAACATAAACCAACAGAGACAGTCAAAACCAGGAAAGTTAGAGTTGGATAATGTAAAATACCAGCAGCAGATAACCCCCACAGTTAAAAGACAGACCATAAAAGTAGGTCTTCAACCTCATGTTCAAACCAGCCTAACAGATGAGGGACGCACGTTCCATAGCTTTGGTCCCGCTAACGCCCTACCCCCTCTCGTATTCAGCCGAGCTCTGGGAGCCAAAAGCAGCAGCTGGTTCTCGGAGCCTGAGCTGGGACATATGGCTGCAACAAGTCAGTCAAATTGGCCATAGCCAACCCTTTCAGAGCCTTGAACACCATTAAAAGTATCTTGGCACAAATTCTAAAATGGACAGGTAGCCAATGCAGAGCAGCCAGAATTGGCGTCACATGTTTAAATTTTCTCTTGCCTTCCACAAATCTCGCTGCAGCTTTGTCAACGAGCTGCAGGTGAGCTGCAGTACCCTAGGAGACAGGAGACAGAGCTACAGTAGTGTGGGCATAAGGTTATGAAGGCATGAACAACAGTCTCAAGATCCTGTCTATTCAGAAATGGTTGCAGTTGGTAGCGCTGTTGCCTTGCAAAAACAAGCTAGCTGGTTGGAATCCCTGCTGCAACCTTTCTGTGTGGGGGTATGCTCTCTCCATGCATGCAAAACTGGGGACACACCAATTCTACATTTTTTCAGAACAAGTAGAAGTACTTACATTTCAGTACTCGCCAATACCGAGTCCTAATAACTGTTACTTCATTTAACTTGTACATTGTTTACTTTTGTCAGGCATATTAAACATAAAGTTTAATTCCCTCATATGGTGAATGGTTTGCATTTATATAGTGCCGTCTTGGATTCTACAACCCCTCCAATACACATTCCAACACATCAATCATTCACCCATTCACACTCTGGTGGTGATAAGCTACCCTGTAGCCACAGCTGCCCCGGGGCATAATGACCGAAGTGAGGCTGCCGTATGCATACACCACTGGTCCATCCTACCACCACCAGCAGGCAAGGAGGGTGAAGTGTCTGAGAGAGAAGTGCTCGGTTAGGAACGTATGGAACAATCGGGTCACTGATTTATGATGGAGCTTGATTATTAAGAGCTTTATACGTGAGAAGAAGGATCTTAAAATCTATTCTGAATTTAACAGGTAGCCAGTGTAGGGAAGCTAAGACAGGAGAGACATGATCTCTCTGTTTAATTCTTATCAGAACTCTAGCTGCAGCATTTTGGACAAGCTGAAGACTTTTAACTACATTCTGTGGACTTCCTGAGAGTAATGAATTACAGTAATCCAGTCTTGATGTAATAAATGCATTAACTAGTTTTTCCAGCATCACTCCTGGAAAGGATGCTTCTAATCTTAGCAATATTCCGAAGGTGGAAAAAGGAAATCCTACAAACCTGTTTAACCTGGGATTTGAATGACATGTCTGGTCGAAGATAACACCAAGGTTCCTTACTTTGTTCTCGGAGACTAATGTAATGCCATTCAGGTCAGGTGTTTGACTAAGCAATTTCCTTTTCTGGATTTCTGGTCCAAAGATGAGAACTTCCATCTTGTCTTGATTTAAAAGCAGAAAGTTTTGAGTCATCCAATTTTTTATGTCCTCAAGACAAGCCTGTAATCTACCTAACCGATTAGATTCATCAGGGTTAATGGATAAATGTAACTGAGTATCGTCAGCATAACAGTGAAAGTTTATCCCGTGCTGAGGTTCTTTACTTTGTTCTCATAGGTGGTGAATAGATTGATCATATCTAAAATGGGGGTAGTGGGGGTAGTAACCACACTTCTGAGACTCCTAACATTTTGTGGCCAGATAATTTTCTGAGACTGGATAGCATTCTGAATATTTTCAAGGTTTTGAAAGTGCTTGAAACTAACTAATAATACTGATTATTAGTTTCATGAAACAAGGGATTGAAACAGTGGTTTTAACTAAATCTTCATCTCTTGACGGTAATGGGAAATCATGAAACATTACCTTGAAAAGTGCTTGAATGTGATCTTCGCACATGTTAAAGAACCCAACAATTCTTGAGTATCCTGTCTAAGTTCAGTGTGACGAGGCCTCTGCTTAGGGATAGACTCAGATTCCCATTAGCTCCAAACCTTTTTTCCTTGAGGACCCCTTGCCTGTGTCCAGGACTAGGCAACGCCCTCATCCCAACACCTACCCGCATAAACACATTAAAAGTGATCATTTACAAACTTTATGCAGACATACAGGATTATAACTCATGTACAGAGTTTTGCTTATACTATTGGGTGTGTTACTTGGGATTTTTTACATTTAATGTTTACAAATATATTCTTGATAATCTCACAGCCTCAGTACAGACAAAATTGTGGGGACCCCCTTGGGAGGGTCACGGACCCTACGTTGGGAACCACTAAACTAAGGCATAAATTTGTGAGGGGCTAGAAATGAAAATATTGCCCTCTGCTACGTTCCTCTGAGATGCTGAGGACAGTAAAGATAAAACAGTTGATTTAAAAGATTCAACAGCGTTGTCAGATAGAGACCGACTATAGTGACATTTACTTTCATGTCCCGAGAACTCAGTTATAAAAAACTCAATGTCTATCAAAAAGTGGTCCGAGCGGACTGGATTATGTGGAAATATTGTTATTTACTCACACTCTATGCCATAATTAATAATTCTGGTGACAGTAAAATTGGATCTGTGTTAACTCTAATTTCTTAACAGCTTTTTTAACACACAATAAACACACAGGCTTCCAAACTTTCGGATATCTATTGTGATTTAGTTTGAGAAAATTTCCATTTGCAGCTGTTTCTCCCATTAATAATGCTCGAGTTTAAAGAGCCTAATTACGTACATTAGAACGATGTGATGACAGGGTTTATAAGATTATCTGGCTGACTTTTATTTAGATTTAATTAGTCACCAAATTAATCTCAACCCATCCTACGCCAGTGCAGAGTCGTGGTACCCGTGTGATGAGGCTTTGCGATCCGGCTGGCCACAAATTCTTCTTCTCAGCAAGCAAGTAGTTTGCCTTCTGAATATCAAAGGTGCTCTTCCTCTGAATCTGCATCAGCTGGTCAGAGAGACCCTCCTGGGTCTGCTGGTGGACCGTTTCATATCTGATGAGATGTTTTGCAGATTAAAACAAATTATGGTTGATCTTGGAAAAGGTTTGTTCTGGTATTTTTAGGGTATTTTTTTTTAACACAGAAAAGGTTTATTTACCTTGCCGACAGTTTCGACCACTCCTGCAATCTTCTTCAAACCTAGGCGCTAATGGTGGCGTCACTTCCTTCTTCGTTTATCCACGGGCAGCGGAGGATGGTGTCGCCCTCTGCTGTTTGCGCTCTCCTCACCCATGACACCGTTCCATACATTATCTAATGCTTAGACCCCCTCATCTCTGTTCATGGTCCCACATCCACGTCTCCTTATCTCGATAGCTTCCTTTATCCATCTTTTGTATTTTTGTTGTTCTGTGTTTATGATCCTTGTGTTGTCCCAGTCCATTACATGGTTTTCTCTTGTGCAGTGATCTGTTACGGCTGACTTCTTTATTGTGCTTTCTGCTTCTTTTGCTGTTCTTGTGTGTTTTCGTTTAGTTTCTTTCTCGCTCCCTTTTCCGCCATTAGTGGCTAGCTCTGATGAAGACTGCAGGAGTGGTCGAAACTGTCAGCAAGGGAAAAAAACCTTTCCTGTGTTGAATCAGAAGAAACACACAGAAGGAATATACAAAGGAGGTTGGTTCTTATGCTGCTATAATGATTTGAGTGATCCCAGGTCTGACTCCCCAACGAGATATTATTCAGCATAAAGGCTGGACCTTTGGCTGAACTTCTGAATAGAGGAAGTGTTTCCTCATTTCAGGGTTCGTTGTTTCTAAGTTTAGACCAACCAGAAGCCAGAAGGTTTAAGAGGTGTTAACAACGAGCTCTCAGACGTCCCCTTTTCTCAGACTCTTAGAAAAGGCTTATTTCACTTAACATGGGGAGCAAGTATGATACAACACTCATCTATTAATATACTGATATTAATATGTGACATAACTGATAATAAGTCGTCTAGCAGTAGATGCAGTAGCATTCCAGGAATAAACACTTATGTTGATTCATTCATTAATGAAAAGCAGTCAAGACATTATTAAATCACTTTAGATGAAACATTCATTATATACTGTAACTGTAAAGTTAAGAAATCATGTTGTGAGACCAAATAAGATTCTTTTATTAAAGATAGAAAGCGTCTGGACTTCTGCAGGACACTGTTATGACGACGTCTCCAGATGGCAGGGTTAGGAATGTTGTGGTATGAAAAGCGCGCCATATTCCGGGCAGGAGACTTTTGCTGGACACTCCCATGTCTGGTGACCTCTGACATTGAAGCCTTTCTTACGCTACAATAGATAGACAGGCAGACAGACATTTGTATTTCTGTTTAACACTCAGATGCAACTGCATTTTTGGTTCTTTTTAAAAGAAGGAAAGGTTTTTCTTTACCTTGCTGACGTTTTCATCACTTCCTAGTAGTAGGAAGTGACGACACCATCAGCATCGGCTCTGAGGGTGTTTTGCAGTCGGCAAACGAAAACGTACGTCAGCAAGGTAAAGAAAAATCTTTCCTGTCTTTTAAAAAGAACCAAAAATGGAATTAGAAACTAGACACAGTAAGAACGCACCAAAGATATTCAGATGCAACGGTGTCATTTCCTAAAGAATGTGTTAGAAAGAGATTAAATGTGTATTTTTGGGAGAGCGTTTATTGTCTGATTATCTTCTCATGAATCAGAACCGACTTTGATCTTTTAAGTCTCACATAATCTGCTGCTGAAGTTCTGGACGTTTCTTTCTCCCTCCTCAGCGCCGTTCGTCGCTTCGCCACGCTTTTCGTCAACGTGAACGTGACATCTGAACCGCATGAGGTGTCAGCCCTGTGGTTCCTCTGGTATGTGAAACAGTGTGGAGGAACCATGAGGATCTTCTCCACCACCAATGGGGGACAGGTGTGTGTTATCTAGCTTGTGTATTCCTGAACTGTCAGCTACTAAACTTTGGACAGGAACAGGAAATGTGCTGCTCCCTGATTGGCTCTTTTGAAAACCTCCCTGCACAGCTGGATGGAAGCCAGAGCCAAGAAGTGATGCCAGAACTGGGTTTGTTTTTTTCTTCTCCCAAGGATCTCTGGGTCCAGCGTTCTAGGATCAGTCAGCCTGACAAAAGATGCTTTCTTGTGAAGCTGACAGTCTTTCTGCTGCAGTGTTTACCCAGGCCTGTTGCCGTGGCTACTGGGATTGTGTTTCTGTAAACAAAGCCCTGTGATGTAACTTCCTGCTGCTAACGGAGCGTGTTTGGCAGCACAGTGACTTCATACATAACCCAGAGCTTCAGTCTGCTCTACTCATGATTGAACTGAAACTGTGTAAACAAACACAACAAGAATATTTAGGTTGTTTGTTTCTCCACGTCTTAGTCTGAGCCTAGAACATGTGTGGAAGCATGGCTTTTGTTAACGTAGGGAGGTTTACATCTACTAGATCAGACAAAATAAATCTAGTTCTACTCATACGTGGAGAATGGTGTCCACATGAAGCTAATGACATTAACGTTGCCCAAGCCTTTGTCGTAACGAGTGAGTCTGTGTGTTGCTGAAGGAGAGGAAGTTTGTCGGAGGCTCCAGTCAGATCAGCGAGTGCATGGCCAACGAGCTGGGGGAGCGAGTCAAGCTGCAGTCTCCGGTCTACAGGATCGACCAGACCGGGGAGACGGTGCTGGTGGACACGGTGGACAAACAAACCTACAGGGTGAGGACATCAGCTTTAAGTAATCTCAGCAATAAAGGTTTGAAATCTGATCTAAATATAGAACTGTAGAAGTTGCTGTTTTAATCACACGTTTCTGTGTCACTCCTGACTGAGCTCTCCCTGCAGATGTGGAAGGAGAGAGCTTTAAGGTCAGATTCACTACGTCATCCAGGCTCCTAGTTTGTGATGTCACTGATGCAGCAAAACCAAATGTGGGCTCCTACCCTAAATCCTGCTCTGTCAGTCAGAAACTTCCACCTGGATGAGAACAGACTCAACATTTGAAGCATTTTGCTGCCCTCTAGTGCTCGGACCTGCTGTAGCTCTACAAGCATACGTTGAGTGTTTTAGGTCCTAATGCCTTGTGTGTGTTTCTTCAGGCTAAATATGTCATCATAGCCACGCCTCCTGCTCTGAACCAGAAGATGCACTTTAACCCCGAGCTGCCCCCACTGAGGAACCAGCTGATCAGCCGCGTCCCGATGGGCTGTGTCATCAAGTGCATGGTGTATTACCGAGAGAACTTCTGGAGGAAGAAGGGTAGGTGAGAACCAAGTGGGGCGGGGGTGCAGGGGGAGGGGTCTAAATGCAGGGCTTTGTCTCCAGGTTTCTGTGGCAGCATGGTGATTGAAGAGGAGGAGGCTCCCATCGGCCTGACGCTTGACGATACAAAGCCTGATGGGACAGTTCCTGCTATCATGGGGTGAGTCAGACCTGCACCCCCACCCTGCAGATCTGTGGCTGGGCTCCTGTCCATCGCTGTTTGTTTGTATCTTTTCTAACTTTTGGTTTTCCCAAACAAACACAAGAGCAGAGTGATCTACCCCAGACCAGTTTGTTCCAGTCCTAGTGCTCATCCTTTAGCATCGTGCTACTGTAGCTAGCTGCTGATCTTCCAAAGAGTACAAACTCCTTTCCACGTATCCCAGATTCCCAACAGCGCACCTCCTTTCCCAGTTCCTGCTGTTTGCCAGTTTTCCAAAGAATCACGTGTAATGGGTTTTTAGTGCACATCTTTTGGTCCAAATCAGACTGAAGGGAAAATGTATCTTTGGAAAATTCAGTATTCCTCCCAACCTGACCCCGGCTGCACCACTGAAATGGTATTCCTTAAAGTTTGGGAGAGCTCTTCCCCGTTTTCTTCAGCTCACGAATCTCGAGACAAGCACATAGCGATACGTTACGTTAGCTGGAAGGGACTGGACATAAATAAAAGATGTGGTCTTCCAACACCATGCTAGGGAACCGCAGAGGGATGTATCCACATGCTTATTAAAGACTTTCCCCTGAGGCGACTGTTTTATTACATCACTTCTCCTAACAGAGACGGCACTGTTCAGCACATTGTCTTATTCTAACCCCTAATCCAAACTTCACATGCTCACAGATTCATCCTGGCCCGGAAGTGCCGGAAGCTGGCTGACCTGACCAAGGAGGAGAGGTGAGAATCACCATGGTAACCAGAGCCACAGTGAATGTCTAGTCCAACTCTGTTCTGGTTCTTTTAGGCTGAAGAGGATCTGTGAAATCTACTCCCGGGTTCTGGGCTCAGAGGAGGCTCTGCATGTGAGTCCAGGTCTGCAGAACCACAGCCACCTGTGACTGGACCCATCTGAACCACATCTTACCTTTTTCAGCCTGTCCACTACGAGGAGAAGAACTGGTGTGAGGAAGAGTACTCTGGGGGCTGCTACACTGCCTATTTCCCTCCAGGAATCCTGACCCAGTATGGCAGGTTGGTCCCATCACTTACCGCCAACGTTCTACCATCAGGAGTCTGACTCGACATGGTTTCATTATTTGTTGGGTTTTACTTTGGTACTGGTACTGGCTGTGTAACGGCCAGTTCCCTCAGAGCTTTGGCTAAACAAAGACCCAGTCGTCCAGCAGCTTTCACAGCATCTCCCTCTGTGATGTGACCTTTCTGTCCAACTGGAGTCAACCGCTTAGGCGGCTGCTCTCGTGGTCTGCCTGTATCTGTGTGTGAGCTTGGTCCGGCAGACTGCAGAGACTCATTTCCATGCTTCAGGACGCCGGGGCATCAACAATAAAGTCGATTGTGATGATTCATTTTCATTTTCAGACATGCAGATGATCTAGTTGTTATTCATATCAGTTTGGCTGCTCTGCATCATGTATTTTCTATTTGAACCCTGAAGTCACGCTGTCTAGTTGGAACTTCCTCATAAACCTCTGTGACCACCCTCACAGGAAGGATGTGGTTTAACGTCTGTGTTAGACCCAGAGCTCCGTGGACCAGTGAGGTGCAGAGAAAGTGAAACACGTCTTCTTGTCTTTTCCTGTCTGCAGAGTCTTGAGAGAGCCGGTTGACAGGTTGTACTTTGCTGGAACGGAGACGGCGTCAGAGTGGAGTGGTTACATGGAGGGCGCGGTGCAGGCAGGAGAGAGAGCCGCTAGAGAGGTCAGACCCTACTCTAACCCTTGAAGAGCCAGTCACAGTTATGCTGATGTAGAACATCTAGCCTGAGGTGGGTACATCACCATGGAGCAGGTCAACAACGGTGGAGCAGCTTGATCTGACTTTAGGCTTAAGTTTAGTGATAGAAAATCTTATTTTGACATTTTGAGGCTTCCTTCACTTTGGTTTTTGGTTCATGATACCCATAGTTGTGACTTGTTTGCCCAAAAATCCACTGGCAGTATCCTCAGGTGCACACTTCCTCCTTAGAGATATAATCCTTCCGATGTGTCCTGGGTTGACCTGGGGGCCTCATTCTGGCAGGAAATGCCTGAGACACCTCCCCTGGGAGGTGTCCATCATGTTTTCATGATTCAGTTTTGGATCATGACCCACAGGCCATGACCATAGAGGAGGATTGCCCATTGAAGGCTGAGCTCCCTCTTTTACATCACAAGAACCCTTTTCAGATTGACATTCTGGAATATGTGTGGACAGTCCGGTTTTTAACCAGAACTGTGAAAACACACCACTTTTGTATCTGAACTTGTCCTTTCGGCTGCCTTCACACAGAAGGGAAAAGTTCCAGATGGGGGTGGGGGTGGGGGGTGTTCTGTACCCAGATATTGCATAAACATGGTGCGGCGGGCGTACATGCGTCATTTACACAAACAAAGCCATTCAGTCAAACATGGCCGACGAAGAGATAGAATTCCTCTCCCTGATCGGACTTATGTTGAGCATAATTCTGCGCACACGAAGATGCATAAGAGACCTGGATGATGAAGGTCAATGGTTAAAGGAATCACGGAAGCGGTGTGAAGCGCTCCGTCGCGCGTCTAGACGGTACCGTAGGAGGCGAGATACCATGGTTCGCCACATGCTACAGGAGCGAGCTATCTAGGTGCGCACAGCGTCCCCCGGTCCCCTCCTCCTCCCCCTTCTCCCTGTCCGGAACTCGACCTCACCAGTCTGAACCAGCCACCTTGTCCGTGACAAGTCCGGTCCTGCTACTAGGGGCGTCATCCGGTTTAATTATGGAAAACGTTATCCGGATGTTTGTATTGAGACACAAAGGTCTTACGGACAGAGTCCTGAGCATTTCCGTTTTTCATGGCCTGTCTAAAGGGGGCTTAAAGGTGCTACCCCAATCCACCTGTGTATCTCCTGCCCCCTCCTTCCTACACTTGTGCTCAAGACCCCAAGATACTTAAACTCCTCCCCATGAGGTAGGACTTCCACTGTGACCCAAAGATTGGGAGGGGCTGATCCTCATCTCAGTCGCTTCACACTCTGCTGTAAACCTCCCCAGCAAGAGCTGAAGGTCAGTTTGATAGAACAAAGAGGACCACATCATCTGCCAAAACCAAATTGTATTTGATATAGGGTTCTTCAACCCCCCAAGGCACTTTACAACACAACCAGTCATTTACGCACAGGTGGTGATGAGCAACATTGTAGACACAGCTGCCCTGGGGCACACTGACAGAGGCGAGGCTGTCGAACACAGGCACCATCGTCCCTCCAACCAGCAGCCAATGAAGATGAAGTGTCTTGCACAAAGACACTACAACTGTGACAGATGGGGTTCAAAACTGCCATCCCTTGAGGCGCCTAATTCGTCTGCAAGGTTGCTCATTAGATAAGATCCAAACAGTCAATAAACTCAACATCCTCCCAGCAAACAAGCCTGTTTGGGCCCACCATGGACGTTGTAGGCTGTGTCTGGGCCAGTGTGGGCAGGGCAAACCCACACTTACCACAGATTTCACCCAGAGAGATCTTGTGTATGGTTTCATGAATGGGATATAAAAAGAGACAGTACATTATTTAAAAAGAGACAGTACATAATGTAAAAAGAGACCGTACATAATGTAAAAAGAGACAGGACATAATGCAAAAAAGAGACAGTCCATGATGTCAAAAGAGACATTACATTGTGTAAAAAGAGACACGCCATAATATAAAAAGAGACAGTACATAATGTAAAAAGAGACCGTACATAATGTAAAAAGAGACAGGACATAATGCAAAAAAGAGACAGTCCATGATGTCAAAAGAGACATTACATTGTGTAAAAAGAGACACGCCATAATATAAAAAGATACAGTACATAATGTAAAACTAGAGACAGTACATAATGTAAAAAGAGACAGCACATTCTGTAAAAATAGACACGCCATAATATAAAAAGAGACAGTCCATAATGTAAAACTAGAGACAGTACATAATGTAAAAAGAGACTGTACATAATATAAAAAGAAACAGTCCATAATATAAAAAGAGACAGTCCAAAATGTAAAAAGAGACAGTACATAATGTAAAAAGAGGCAGTACATTATCTAAAAAGAGACAGTCCATAATGTAAGAAAAGACAGTACATAATGTAAAAAGAGACAGTCCATAATGTAAAAAGAGACAGTCTGTAGTGTAAAAAGAGGCAGTAAATTATGTAAAAAGAGACAGTCCGTAGTGTAAAAGGAGACAGTACATAATGTAAAAAGAGGCAGTACATTATGTAAAAAGAGACAGTCCATAATGTAAAAACAGACCTCCCATAATGTAAAAAGAGACAGTTTGTCGTGTAAAAGAGACAGTCCATAAAGTAAAAAGAGACAGTACATAATGTAAAAAGAGGCAGTACATTATGTAAAAAGATTCAGTCCGTAATGTAAAAAGAGACGGTCCATAATGTAAAAAGAGACAGTCCGTAGTGTAAAAAGAGACAGTACATTACGTAACTTGAGACAGTACATTATGTAAAAAGGGACAGTCCATAATGTAAAAAGAGACAGTACATTATGTAAAAAGAGACAGTCCATAATGTAAAAAGAGACAGTCCATAATGTGAAATGCGACAACACATTATGTAAAAAGCGACAAAACATAATGTAAAAAGAGACAGTTCATAATGTTAAAAGAGACAGTCCATAATGTAAGGAGACAGTACATAATGTAAAAAGAGCCAATCTGTAATATGAAATGAGACAGTCCATAATGTAAAGAGACAGTGCATAATGTAAAAAAAGACAGTCCATAATGTAAAAAGAGACAGTCCATAATATAAGAAGAGACAATCCATAATGTAAAATGAGGCAGTCGATAACGTAACCCTAACCTTAACCCTAAAGAGACAGTACATAATCTAAAAAGAGACAAAACATAATGTAAAAAGACACATTTCATAATGTAAAAAGAGACAGTACATAATGTAAAAAGAGACAAAACATAATGTAAAAAGACACAGTTCATAATGTAAAAAGAGACAGTACATAATGTAAAAAGGGACAAAACATAATGTAAAAAGAGACAGGACATAATGTCTAAAGAGACAGTTCGTAATGTCAAAAGAGACATTACATAATGTAAAAAGAGACAGTCAATAATGTCAATAGAGACAGTACATTATGTAAAAAGAGACTGTCCATAATGGAAAAAGAGACCGTCTGTAGTGTAAAAAGAGACACTCCATAATATAAAAAGAGGCAGTACATAATGTAAAAAGAGACCGTACATAATGTAATAAGAGACAGTCCATAATGTAAAAAGAGACAGTACATAATGTAAAAAGAGACAGTCCGTAGTGTAAAAAGAGACAGTCCATAATGTAAAAAGAGAAAGTACATTATGTAAAAAGAGACAGAGCATTATTTAAAAAGAGACAGTCCATAATGCAAAAAGAGACAGTCCATAATGTAAAAAGAAACAGTCCATAATGTCAAAAGAGGCATTACATAATGTAAAAACAGGCAGTCCATAATGTCAAAAGAGACAGTACATTATGTAAAAAGAGACAGTCCATAATGTAAAAAGAGACTTTCTAGTATTTCTCCACAACAGCAGTCGTCCACACCTCTGTTAGCATAGAAGAGACATTAGCTGTGGTGTCAGTGGAAAAAGGAACAGATGAGATGTTTACTGGTCAGGTCAGATCCCTCTTTGGCTTTTGTCTCTGACTTGAACCCATTTCTTCTGTCAGGTCTTGTGTGCGATGGGTAAAATCCACCAGAGTCAGATCCACCAGCCAGAACCTGAGAGCAAGGTGAGCAACCCACCCATGCACTACCTGAAGCTAAATGTTGTCAGTCTGTTCTCTCAACTAAATTCTTTCTGAAACGTTTTGGTCCAGGACGTGCCAGCCCTCCCGTTTGAGACCACCTTCTGGGAGAGAAACCTGCCTTCAGTTGGAGGTCTGCTGAAGCTAACAGGTGTCTCTGCTGTCCTATGTGCTGCGGCTGCTGCTAGCCTGGTGCTGCACAAGAAGGGCCTCCTTCCCCGAAGCTAAGCTGCTAGCGCCTATTAGCTAGCTTTGCTGCTTCTCAGTAACATGACTCAACACTTGACGTCTGAGGGAACTCCACAGCTGTAGGATGACTAATGGTTTGACCCTACAGTGAGTTCACAGAAGCAAGGGGCTAATTAGAGGTTAAGAGATGTATTCTCAGCAGAGAGAAGACTAAGAGTAAAAAATCAGTCAAGCCAGTGATTTAAGAAGTAAGAAATAAACAGAAAAATCTCATTCTGCTCCAGATGTTACCATAAAAAATGATGTGGTGTCAGAGTTGTGTGTGTGTGTGTGTGTGTGTGTGTGTGTGTGTGTGTGTAGGTGGTCTCCTAGACTGTGTTTGTGGTGATTTTTTGTGCCTTAGTGGATGTTTGTATGTCACTACTTTCTGAAGTGCCTGTGTAACTCTGACTGTTTATGCCCCTCCCACTCTGATCCTTACTGCCACATCTCATTGGTTCCTTTCTACAGGTGACCTAAACATTTGTTATGTCACAGGCTACTTGAGTAATGTCCGCAAAGTAAAAATAGCTCAGGTAAATCCAGGTGTTTAATCCCAGAGTGCTGATTGATCAAACGTGTGTGTGTGCGCGTGTGCACGTGTGCGTGTGCGTGTGTGTGTGTGTGTGTGTGTGTGTGTGTGTGTGTGTGTGTGTGTGTGTGTGTGTGTGTGTGTGTGTGTGTGTGTGTGTGTGTGTGTGTGTGTGTGTGTGTGTGTGTGTGTGTGTGTGTGTGATGACCTTTGACACACCTTCGTTACACTTGGTGGAGCAGATCAGACACTAAACCTGATCCAGCTCGGTCTAGAACATTCTGAGCCTTCCTAACTGTAGCTGTGAGCTGTACTTTGGTGTTGCTGATTCTTTAAACAAAGGTGATGAGATTCAACAGAGAAAAATGTGAAATAAATCTTTTATTCATCTGAACTTTCCCTGGTTGTCTTTGTGTTTGATCTACTCCTGTATTCAGTGTTGCCACAGTTACGTTGAAATAGTAATTTGATTACTGACTAATGATTACTCCATTCAAAAGTAACTACACTGAACAAAAATATATGTTTGGTCGTTTGTTTATAATCTAGAAAGTTGTTTGTTTAAACTCATCAGACGCCAGTGTGCAGGCTACGATACCCTTGGTATGAGTTGCTCCCGGTGGTCCGGAGGGGTGCGGTCAGAGTGGTGAGGTCACCGGACGTTGAAACACAATACTCAGAGATTAGTAGCTTCCTCTGAGTTCAGCTTCACCAGCCATAAGATGCAACCTGGGTTCTGCAGATTAGAGGTCTGAGGTGTGGAGTAGCTCTGAAAAGAGCTGTTTGGCTGTATCAGCCAGTTTCGCAGTGAGGATTTGACTGGAGGTCAAAGTAGATTGTATCAAAAGGGCTTATTTCTCGATTTGGCCGAATTTGGAGTCAACTGGAAACTGAATTAATCGGGAAGTAATTCTTGTTTTAATAAACTCATTGCTTATAATTCTGGCAAATCAGAATAGGCCATGTCTCGAGGGCTTTACCAAAACATTCCTCAGATGACACACCTTGTTCAGATACAAAGGTGTTTAACGCTTTGTGAATGAGAATGTTTTAAAACACTTATGTGAGGTAAATATTAACATTAATACATATCTTATTATAATGTGTATGCTTGTAGATATTAACTTGTTAAATCAAACATATCTGATCTGGTGGAGATAAAGTCTGAATGGATCATTGTAAGAACAATATTCATCTTAAAGCCATCATGGTTATAGCACAGATTATTCAAACATTTGATTTAAACATCTTGTTCATTCAACACACATGATTATTTAAGCTTATGAGTTGTAAAGTCCTGTAGGCTTCCAGTAGGTTCACTATTCAGAGTGAAGAATGTTGAAGTCTGTCTTTACACAGAGACTGCAGGACCTTTGCAGGAGACCTTGACAGTTTTGTCTTGTATGCAAACCAGCACTGAGCAGAACGTTCTGGATTTGGAGGCCAGATAGATGGTGGGTTTATGTCTGTAGATGAAAGGTTATTATGCGGTTAATATGTAGGTGAGAATTGATCCCTTGGATACGTAACAAATGCAACACTTTTGTTTTTGCTACCATTTTTCATGAGCTGAACGCAAACATCTGAAACTTTTTCTACAAACACAAAAAAAAACATGACTCATATTGTTCTTAAATCTGTCTACATGTGTGTTTATGAGTACTTTACCAAGATAATCCATCCCACCTCACAGGTGTGGCATATCAAGGGGCTGATTAGACTGATGAATAATGTACAGGTGTGTCTTAGACTGCCCACAGTAAAAGGCCATGATTTCTGTCTGACTGCTCTGCAGCTGCGCTCCGTGACAGCTCACACCTGCTGTCAGCTTCCTCTGTCCCTCTGCAGCTAAATGCTACTGAACCATTTCTATTGGCTGAATATGTGAGATTTCCACTAACAGCAAAGGGATTTCATGTTTTTGTGTTTATTTTTCATGTTCATGAGCTCATCTCCTCTCAGCTCTCACAAATCACAGAATCACGATTTTCACAATTAATCTGATTGTCTATGTTACAAGCCATCTTCCCAATCTAGCCTAACTGCCTAAATGCCTGCACACTGTAGTAGCTGATTAGCAATCACCGCTAACCTAGACTCTGATTCTGGCAAAACCAACTTTATGCAGCTCAAAGGATACTCAGTTTACTCACAATCCATGTCCATGAAGCTTATGTACACTTCAGGTTAAGACCCTTGCCAGCTGTTCCTTTTTTGCTGAGGAGACAACTGACTTTACCTGTAGCCTAGGATGGAGGAAACACTTATATCAATTACACCTATGGCATTTACAACCAGCATCTCACCTTTGCTCGGTCACCGACAGGAGGAGACCCCACTCGTAAATCCTTTTTTTCGTTCCACGAATCCGAGGAACTAGGCTTTATTTCACACAGATGAAAAAAGAATAATAATCCAAATGAAATCCCGACAAAGCGGGTTAAAAAGTGAAACAACTCTGCCAATAAACCGAGTTATAGCAAAGTTGAGCTGAATAAGCTCTCCAAAGATGACACTAGGTCAGATTATCACAGACAAAAAGCTCAAAGCAAAAGCTTCCTTCTTTCCATCTCTGTACCTCACACACTCTTCCCATCAAAGGCCCATCCTCCGGACCCGGTAGCTCCTTTTTATTCACTCTCACCCCTCCCTCACAGTCATTTCTTTGTTTGCTGCTTCAGATTTCAGACTTCCTGGTCACGTGTTCCTCCTCTTCTTGTTACTTCTCCCACGGCCCCGAAGAGACCATAAATCTTGGATGTCATGATGCCACCTTTTCTTCTCCCAGTCTTAATGGTCATCTCCAGCTGGTCAGCAGAGGGAGATGTGGTTACCCCTCCCTTTTCTTCTGCCCAGGGTCAACTGGTCATCTCCAACATTAGCTGGACAAGATATCTTATTTATATGGTTATAGCATCTTGACCAACTCCACAGAGGACAATAGATGACATACATGCTTACTCCCAACATCTATTCAGGTCAAGACAGGTTATATCCACAACATGAATCGTTTAACCATATCAGCAGAGTGAAGGCACATCACTAATTTACGACATCACAGTTCAGGCGGCTACTGCCAGGACACACACGCGCACACACACACACACACACACACACACACACACACACACACACACACACACGATAAGAGAAGGTAACAGGCCTTTAGCTTGGTTTGACACACACAGATACATCTTGTAGAGCCTAGAATTGATTTCACATAATGAGAGACATAATCCAGACTTAATTCCATACATTAACAAGTCTGATTATACTCCATACAACAGTCTACAAATGTAGGTTAATTATTTTAGTATAACTCCTGTTTAACTTGGGCTGTTAAAAGAAATAAAAACGAGCGGGTAGTTTATAATCCACATTTTAAACATAAATTGAAACCTAAGCTCAGAGAGGCGGAGTCTTGCTGCTGCAGCATCCCAACAGTGTGCTATCATTGGTCGATTGCAGACAGGAATCGTAGGATTGCGAGCATGCTTGTAGACTGTTGGAGGCTGATTTGGTCGTGAGACAGCCCAGAAAGCTGTCTCAGAGTCGGCCACCCTGTCTGTTCACAGCATGTTGTACAGATATGCAAATCACCCTGACGTTGACTGCTTGTTGTCCTGATTCCGCTCAGGACGAGGGATTTGACAAAGACAGCCAAAAACCTCTCAGTGTGATCCGGGCATAAGGTGGTAAATATGACAGACCTTTATCCTGGTTTTTAATGTTTCTCCAGGTTGTGACGCTGATACAGCAGGTACCATCATCTGTGTGTTGCTGCTATTGCAGCCACTCACTGAGGGACACAAACTAAATCAGCTTTGTGTTGATTTTTTACATTTAACATTATTGTTATGGAAACTTTCTGGGTTTTTAACAGCTTCCACATCATGTTACTATAGTCACATGTAATTTAAATGTTATATTTATAGATGGTGTTTTCTCTTTACTGTTAAAGGTTCCAGAAAGGTTGTAGGACTTTACCTTTTAGGAGTTCACTGGCTCATTCCAACACATCTGCACTGGTCTCTAGTATAAATGAATGCCTTGTGAGGTCATCTCTTTGGTGAAAAGCTCTGGTGCTCCTGTTTCAGGAACAAGAAGAAAAAGGCAGAATGTGGAGTTGTACTCTGCATCATTTACTGATATGCTGACGGCTCGCCTCTGATCAGCTGCTTTTTCGGTTAACTTGCTCATGCTGGAGGCCCATCCAGCAAGTAGCAAAACAGCAGGAGAAAGACATTTTCTTTATGTCCCCCCCAGAAATAACTGTTAAAGAATACCACCATGGCGCACATGTGTAAACTGCTGAGACATGCCCACTCTGCTGGAGAGGAAATGTTGTGGCCAGGAACCAAATCACTGTGTCCGCCTACTGCCACACTTTTCCCTATTTTGTTTAGATGGAGGCAACCTGCAAATTCACAGGCGATACCGGGAGGACCTGATGGTGATGAGGCAGCGAGAGAGCCAGGGGATGACAACCGGGAGTACCGCTGTGCTGCCTACAGACATTTCATCTTTTGGCAGCATGGTGGTCTCGGGCGTGGAAACCGGTTGGTCATCCCCAGCTGCTGTGTGTGGGCGATCAGGGACAGGAATCCAGACCCCCTACGGACAGTATAAAGTGTTGGGTAATTTTATTAATCCAGGATTACCTTAGGGAAAGTTCAAAACACAGGGGGTTATAGTAATCAATCAATTAACACCAATACCAATTCATAAACTATCAAATTAGACTTTGCAAAGTGGAGAGGAAAAGATTACACACCAGTCAAAGGTTGCCAGTTCACTCTCATCAGACAGAGTCCTCCGAAAGCATTTAATAAGCACACACAAACACAAAAGATTGACGCACACACATTTTGACATCCCTTAGACTCTCAGGCAGAAAGCTGTAAAAAGGGAGACTAAGCTTTCTCCAAGTGCACTTTAAATCAACAAAGCAGTCTGGACTTTCTCAAGGGAGTTTTACTGATAAGAGGTTGTTCCAAGGCTAGGTCGTCCTCCTAAAACCTAGTCCTCCCTGTAAGACCTGCAGGAGCCTGTTATCAACAGAATAAAATAAATGGATGAAGCTACATTTAAAAACCACCAGATGTTTAACAGTCAAGACATTAATTCAGTAATGTTAATACCAGTTTTTATCTAACAATCCTCCCTGTAAATGTTAGATTCATCCTTCATAACTGGCAGAGTAATAAAACAACAACAATACTACGATTATGGTAAATATGTTTGTAGCTGTAAAAATCAACCTCTAACACACAAAAAGATCACAAAATAAGTCGTGATAAAGTAAAAAGGTAAAAGATGATAAAATCAACTAAGCTGCTAACTAGGACATCAATCAACAACGGTTACAGAATTTGTAGTTTACATTGTTGAAGTCATCTTATAACCAAGCAAATCATGACGAAGATAAAAATAACAGGTGCAAGACATTTTCACAAGAGCTGATACTAACTACCAGGTGTCAGCCAATCCAGGAAGCTAAGGAAATTGCTAGAGGGGTAAAGCTAATGTACGCAGCTCTAACTGTGGCAGAGCTGAGGTCAAAGGGCTTGTCTGTGGACTGGAAGCTGTAGTTTGGACAAAACAATGTCTTCTTCAGGATGGTGTTGCATTGTTGTGGTTTTGAAGTGGGGAAAGGTGATGCAGAAGAGTCCTGTGGGGTCTTTTGGGGTCGCCGTTGTGAGGGGCAGAAGGTCATAACAGACCTAGACTCTCTTACTTCAGCTCTGATGTCCTCGTAAGGACAGCCCGTCCTCTGTGGTTTCATTTGAGGCGGGTTGAAGGCGAGCCAGGCTGCAAATTCCACACCAGTTGTGTGGCAGGTTCAGGTAGAGAGAGCTTCCAAATTTCCAGATGTATCCTTTGGGGGTCCTCCTTCCCATGACTGAGGGGACTGCGAGAACAGGTTCATTTGTGTTCCATGGGGGGTATAAAGGTCGTCCAGTCATTACAAGGCTGAACAAAGGGCGTATCCAGCAACCTTGTTGATGTTGCAGCAGTGTGGGATGGTGCACTTCCCTTAATGGCTTGGATGGTGAGGGCGTGTCATTGTGGTCGGGAAGCCATGAAACCAGTTAGGAGATTTGGGCACCGGTGCTTGAGGTTGGTGGAGGCAGGTCACGGTGTCATGTGGATGGGCTCAGGAGGAGCCCCAATCACCATCTGTCGATTCAGTTGCTCCCTCAACTGCTGCTGTTTCAATCGTTCCGTCAGGTGCTGAGGGGGGTTCCAGGGCAGAGCCATGAGTGCGACCACCAACATCAGCAGCTGTATGGTGGACCCTGCAAGCTTAAAGCAGTTCTTTAACTTATCTGTTGTCATTGGTGAGCTTGCACTGGGATAGTTGAGTCCAGGTGGCCCCTCAGCATTTTCACAGCAGCAGGAGTGATGAGGAATGACCTCCGGCTGCCCCATCTGTTTGCATCAGCACCTTCATCAGGACCCAATCTTGGTTTCACGGCCTGCGGCGAAAAAACACAAGAAAAGTCTGGGAGATCACTGCGGTATTTGACTTGTCTTCAGTAACAGCCATCCAATATTTAAGGTAATTCCTTCCATGCAGAGTGTGCACCTATTATCAGTCCAATCATCACCCCCCTGTGGAGGCAGGGGTCACCAGAAACTGAACACATCAACAAACATGGTATCACCCGATGCTAAAATTAGCCCCCACACACATGTGAGGACAACGTACAGGATCCGGCAACTACTAGAACACGTCAACAGGAGGAAGAGACGTGCAGCACGGTTTGAACCCAAAAATAACTCATTAACCCAGAATTTTGGAAAAAAACAAAACAAATTAAATCAAAACACAAGGAGATCATAAAGGTTTGCAGTGCAGCCAAACTTTCATCTTTAATGGCATTTCAATTCAAACTCTTAGTGTTCCAAACAACAGAAAACCTTAAACAATCAAAACACAAAAACAACTGGATGAGAAGAGACTGACACAACAAAAGAAAAGAACAGCTTATAAAACCACATAACTTTAACAAGCTACCCTGATTAGGGTAGGATTAATATATTTCTAACAAGCTTAAAAAATGTATTTGCTTCAAGGTGAACCAAGGCCAAAATAACAAACAAAAACCAACTACCTTAATACTCCAGGAAAACTGACTAAGCCCTAAAGAATCAAAACTAGAAAAATAAAGACACGTATCTAAACCTAGCTCCCTGTCTAAAGGAAACAAGTGAAAAAAAACTAACAAAATGGCAGTTCACTGACCAACAGTACAAATAAAAGGTCACACTAAAGGTCTCACACTTTTGGAAATAATAAGGGTGAGAGGTAAGTCCAGAGATCCATTTTGATCTCCTTTGTTTTTGTGGTTGCCTCTTCATTCCAAAGGGCTGAGATGCAAGCAGGACTTTCCACAGCTTGACAGACTGCATGCTACCAGGGCGTACTGCTGCCCCCTGCTGTTTCTTTCAGATTACTTCATCTCAAAGTGCAACCACAGAACACAAAGCATATCTTGTGTAACTCTACACAGCAACTGTATTTCAAGAAGGGCATGACTATGGAGTGTCGACCACAGTTTATGCATAAAAAATGTAAAATTTCAAGTTAGTAGAAATACTTTGAATAAACGTCAGTAGGAAATATGAATGAAGAAGGAAAAGTTTGTGAACTCCATACACACAATTTCATAGTAATCAAGTCCAAATACCCCCCCACCCCACCCCCCCCCCCGCCCCGGGGTATCGTTCCAGATTAGTTTAACCATGCAGTGGTGCTTGCCTCTGAAATTACATCTAATTATTGGCCTTTTTTGAATTAGCATTTTGCTAAGGTAGTTGAGAGTATTGTGTATTAGCTGCTTCAGTCATTTTGCTCTCACAGTGTCATCTCAGAACCAGTTCAGTCAGGCTTCTGGGCTGGACACTGCACTTTTGACGATTTTAAACAGCATAGCTTTAGCAGCTGACTATGGTAAGGCTGTGGTTCTGTTGCTGTTGGACTCAACCAGCTGCATTCGATACTGTTGCTCATCAGAAATTTTGGGATCGCTTAGAGCGTTAGGATGAGATCTCTGGCTCTGTGTTAAACTGGAAGGTTGTTTGACCAATCCTGGTTCCCACCAGAGAATACTGCTGTTGTGTCCTTGGGCAAGACACGTAGCCCACCCTGCCTGCTGGTGGTGGTCAGAGGGACCGGTGGCGCCTGTGTTCAGCAGTCTTGCCTCTGTCAGTGCTCTCCAGGGCAGCTTTGGCTAAAATGCAGCTCATCACCACCAGTGTGTGAATGTGTGTGTAAATGGGTGGATGAGTGTTTGTGTTGTGAAGCACCTTGGGGGGTTGTAGAACCCTAACATGGTGCTATACAAACACAGGCCTTTTACAGTGAGTGAGTTTTCAATCTCTTGGGAAGGAAAGGTCCTTATGAGTTTCTCCTTTTTTGTTCCTATCCAGTTAATGTAACACACCAGACATTTTTGTTTGTATTTATTATTTATTTTATTTCAAAATTAGTATGTCTAGCACATATCCATGATGCGCCTCATGCTCATGAATCTCGTGCCTCCATATCCCATCTCCCTGAAGCTCCTGTACTCTCCAGGCCTCATGTACATCATCTTGCCTCTGTAGTGAGGCTGCTCGTACATCAGCCAGTGGCCATCCATCACATGGCAGGACATGCAGTCAGACATACGGTAACGGTCCATGATGGAGTCACAGTCATCCATTAGCTCGTGCATTTGACCACCAAAGTTCTCCCTCTCGTAGATCTTCATCCTGTAGGATCCCCTGTGCTATAATAGAAACAAACGTCAGGCTCTGGACATTCCAGCATTGCAGGTCAGAGATGGAAGAGTTTGAAACTTACCATGGGGATCATACGGCAAGACTTGATGCAGTCTCTCCATCCAGTCATGCTCATGTAGTCAGCATACTCGCCCCTCTTAAAAAAGTACTGGTTTCCCATGTAGTTGGGACGGTCATAGACCATGAAGCAGCCGCTCTCCACCCTGCAGGAGTGACACCTGCTCAGGTAGGAGGACATGTCAGCACAGTCGCTCATGCACTCATAGGAGCGACCCTGGAAGTTCCTGTCCTCGTAGAAGATGATCTGAAAAACAAGAAATTTCATCTGAGAACTGTAAGCAAACTCCACAGAAAAGAAATTCCCTATCTCTTATCCTACCTTGCCCATGCTCATGTCAGTGGTGGACATACTGGTGGGTGAGCTGCTGGTTTCGGTTCTGCCCCTGCTGCACTGCTATCCTGCCTGGTTTAACCCTTCCTTTTATACCCAACTAAAGCATACAGAATCGGTGGGCCCCTTTTGTTTAAACCACCAACTCAGCAACATGATGCAGAGCTCTTTAGCTTCTGTGTCATGTGACCATGTGGTTTGGGTCTCAGAGATTTCAGACATACATTCATTTAACGAGGCATGTTTTCCCTATTTCAATGCATTGCTCATACTACTACTACTACTACTACTATTACTACAATTACTACTACTGCTACTACTACTACTACTACTATTACTGCCACTACTACTACTACTAGTAGTACTACTACTATTACTACTATTACTACTATTACTACTACTACAACAACAACTACTACTATTACTACTACTATTACTACTATTACTACTACTACTACTACTACTACTACTACTATGTAATACTGTTACATTTTATTTGAAGCACCTTTCTAAAAACTTGTGGTCACTGTACAGTAACAGGGAATAAAACATTCCAACAAGACAAGACTGCTATGTTTTTATTGCACATTTCCTACACAAAGGCAACTGAATGTGCTTTACAGCAATAATGACAGACCCAAACAAAGACAAGCTGAACAATGGGATTACATCAAAATGACTACAACTAGAAAATTAACACAATATCAGTTAAACGTTGTGAAGAGAACTAAATGTGGTCAGCCAGAAAACACTAAGTAGGTGAAAACATTGATTAAGCTAAATGTGTAAGGACACTAATAAGTAGTACAATGTACTACAAACTTTGATGACTGAAATTAGTAACTAACAGAAATTCAATACTTTGAATAGGTAGGAAGTCTGACCAGGAGTTACTAAGTGGAAGGTGACTAAAACTAATGTAGGTAACAAAGAGTGGTCAGCTGGAAACAGCTGAGTATGTGAAAGCATTGATTAAATCAAAAAGCTGACAGTGAAATAGATAAAGTACAAAACAGCACTGGACTAAAACTGGAAGACTAACAGAATACAAATATTTATTTTGCCACAGGTGTAAGGTGACAAACTAAAACAAATGCAGACTAATGGGCTCGACACACGGGAGGCGACAAACGACTGCGATCAGCGAAATTTGTCGCTGTCGCTTTTATTACCTTTCACACGGGAGGCGATCCGCGGCAGCGGCCAGCGGCAAAGCCGTCTACGCATTCTGTTCCATTGCGAAGTCGAAACTTCCGTTGTTTTGTTTGGCTGTGTCAGGTTGGAGGGAATTAAGGTTATTTAAGCGGTTCAGAGTTAATAAAGTGGTAGAAATGATGTTTCACAAGATGCTGCTAGAGTTATGTGAAATCTTACTTCTGATTTTACTACATAAAACAATAATAATCAACTTCTCCTCCATGTTTGCTCGGAGATGTGCGGAGCATCCTGTCCGCTCATTGGTCAGTGAATGAAACCTCCGTTGATTGGTCCTCATCCGAGCGACAGCGGTGAATAGTTGAAAATGTTTCAACTTTCTGGGATCGCGTCGCTGGGTCGTACGCGCACGACACGTGCACGAGTGCAAACTTTCACATGCACGTTTTTCGCGTTTCGCTTAGTAGGAGAGAGACCCGCGATTATCGCTTTGTCGCGCATGTCTCATTGAAAATGAATGGAGGAGAGGCGATGTCGCCTCCCGTGTGTCGAGCCCATTAAACTGGAAAACTAACTGAAAGATGCCAGCCAGGAGTCAGGACTTACTAAATGCGCTTTCCGACTGTAGGAACCCTTTCCTAGAACTATGTTAGCTCCTACTCTGAAGCTAGGACTTTTTGTGGTTCCTATGGAACTAACGTGACGTCGGCGCTCGGTGAGCTCCGCCCCTTGCTTGATTTCTGCATCTTTTCTGTTCCGAATCATGTTCGTTTATTTAGAAACAGACTGGACTGCATCCCAGATATTCCTGCTGCCGCCAGCTCACCTCGCCACAACCGAAAAGGTAAAGAAAACAGTCTTAATGCATTCAGTTAAGCTTTGTCTCTTCTCTGAAAACAGAAATATTATCTAATTTGAAATTAAATCTCAGAGGGAAAACTGCCGATAGCGAGCATGTGTTTGTACTAAATTAATATGTAGTCATTTAGGAGAGTCCTTTGTCTTCATTCTTCTCTTGGGGTGGAAAGGAAGCAGTTTAGAAGCAAATGCATGACCTTGAGGCAGTCTCATGCAGATAAGTTCTTGCTGAGGAGAGGGGGGAAATGCCTTTTAGGTGGAAAACAGTCATTTCTGTCATGACTCCCATCCTTCACCCTCCTCCACTTCCTCATTATACCTTCATTCAGCTCACCTGGTTCCTCTCACCAAGCTCCAGCCAAGCCCTGCTTTCCCCAGCAACCTCTGTCAGCTTCAATCAGCTCCATTCATTCCACCTGCTCCTGTAATCAGCCTCATCCCATTCACCTGCTTCTCCTGCTATAAAAGAACCAGCCGTCCAGTCAACAGATGCCAGATTATTACAGCCCTGCCAGTAATTCTCCAGCCATCCACCCTGCCTGATCTTTGCCTCTGGACCTTGTTTTTTGCCTGACCCCTGCCTTGCTCTCTGCCTGCCACTTTGACCTTAGCCTGCCTCTGAACCTGCCTCAGCCTTGCCCTCCAGGTACCTCTGCTTTAAATAAAGACTTTTTTTTATATATTTTTACTGTGTTGGCGTCTTCACGGGTCTTCTGAGTTCTGTTTGTGACAGAATAATCTGGCCAAAAATCTGACCCAACGCTGACACAGCACTTGGAGTATTTTTTTTCTTCTTTTTTTTCATCGTACCTGTCATGGAGGATCTCACGCTCCTGGAGTTTATGGAACTAGAGAAGGAGCAGGAGTCACCGTTCTGGGGAACGCGGCTGGCCATCAGGCCAGAGCCACGCAGAGGCTCCACTCCTCTGTCCAGGCCTGCTGCAAACGTCTTGTGCAGCGGGTTCATGACCACGCCACTCCAGCCTCAAACCCCTCCTGTCAGGTCACGACGGCGGCGGTCCCGGAGGTTTTCTGGAGCTGATAAGAGGGTTAATCCTTCTCCCGTGCAGGTGTCGGCGGTTCCACGAACGGCACCTCATGTTCTGCTTCTGGACCGGTCCCGACGGAGGAGATTGTTCAGGGGATGATGCAAATGGTCGAGGAGGCTGTGTGGGAGGTCTTTGCCAAGCCAACCTGCCCCCACTTACGTCTGCGGGCGGCTGATAGGTTAAATGTCATCTTCTCCACCCATCCAGAGTTGATAGCGGTGCCAGCACTTGGTAATTACTACCTTTATGTCCGGAGGGTATATGGGTCTGCACTGAAGGATGTCGCCATGGAGGGTCTGACCTGCTGTGAGAGGTGGTCACCTTCCCCAGAACCCTCCAACGTATCGCATCCTGCTCCGGCGGTGGTCCCGGTGGACGCATCGCATCCTGCTCCGGCGGTGGTCCCGGTGGACGCATCGCATCCTGCTCCTGCGGTGGTCCCGGTGGACGCATCGCATCCTGCTCCGGCGGTGGTCCCGGTGGACGCATCGCATCCTGCTCTGGCGGTGGTCTCGGAGGAAGCATCGCATCCTGCTCTGGCGGTGGTCTCGGAGGACGCATCGCATCCTGCTCTGGCGGTGGTCTCGGAGGACGCATCGCATCCTGCTCTGGCGGTGGTCTCGGAGGACGCATCGCATCCTGCTCTGGCGGTGGTCCCGGAAGACCCATTGCATCCTGCTCTGGCGGTGGTCTCGGAGGACGCATCGCATCCTGCTCTGGCGGTGGTCTCAGGGGACGCATCGCATCCTGCTCTGACGGTGGTCTCGGAGGACGCATCGCATCCTGCTTCGACGGATGAGGTCCAAGAGGCCCCGGTCCTGGCCCAGCCTGTCCAAGGGGCTCCGGCCCAGCCTGTCCAAGGGGCTCCGGCCCAGCCTGTCCAAGGGGCTCCAGTCCAAGGGTCGACGCCTCCAGGCTCTGAAGAGGACCTCTCCTGCCCTTGCTCTTAAGAGGACCCCTCCTGCTCTCAAGTTCCCCAGTCTGAAGTTCCCCAGTCTGAAGTTCCCCAGTCTGAAGTTCCCCAGTCTCAAGTGTCTGTGTCCCCTCTTAGTCGTAGTCCAGTTTCCCCTCTTAGTCGTGGTCCAGTTTCCCCTCTTAGTCGTGGTCCAGTTTCCTCTCTTAGTCGTGGTCCAGTTTCCCCTCGTAGTCTTAGTCGTGGTCCAGTTTCCCCTCGTAGTCTTAGTCTTGGTCCAGTTTCCCCTCGTAGTCTTAGTCTTGGTCCAGTTTCCCCTCGTAGTCTTAGTCTTGGTCCAGAGTCCCCTCGTAGTCTTAGTCTTGGTCCAGTGTCCCCTCGTAGTCCTCGTCCGCCTGTGTCCTCTGTCACCACACTCCTACAGTCCCGGCTCCTGGTTCCCCGTCGCCGGCCCCCCAGACTCCCACGGTCCCGGCTCCTGGTTTCCCGTCGCCAGCCCCCCAGACCCTTCCGGCCCTCCTTCCTGGTCCCCCTCCTCCCGCCCTGCTCTGGCCCTCCTCCCTGATCCCCCTCCTCACACCCTGCTCTGGTTTCCTGTGGGCGTCTGATATCCGCTCTTGAGGGGGGGGGGGGGGGGGGGGGGGGGGGTTCTGTCATGACTCCCATCCTTCACCCTCCTCCACTTCCTCATTATACCTTCATTCAGCTCACCTGGTTCCTCTCACCAAGCTCCAGCCAAGCCCTACTTTCCCCAGCAACCTCTGTCAGCTTCAATCAGCTCCATTCATTCCACCTGCTCCTGTAATCAGCCTCATCCCATTCACCTGCTTCTCCTGCTATAAAAGAACCAGCCATCCAGTCAACAGATGCCAGATTATTACAGCCCTGCCAGTAATTCTCCAGCCATCCACCCTGCCTGATCTTTGCCTCTGGACCTTGTTTTTTGCCTGACCCCTGCCTTGCTCTCTGCCTGCCACTTTGACCTTAGCCTGCCTCTGAACCTGCCTCAGCCTTGCCCTCCAAGTACCTCTGCTTTAAATAAAGACTTTTTATATATATTTTTACTGTGTTGGCATCTTCACGGGTCTTCTGAGTTCTGTTTGTGACAATTTCA